GTGAAGCACTTTGTGATTTTGTATCGAAGAAAGGTGCTATATAAATAAACTTTACTTACTTAAAAAACAACACACACAAAGTATCGAAAATTGGTACCATTAAGTACCGGCACAGATTCCCAGGTACCAGATATTGGTACCGAATCGATTCAAATGTCAAAGGTACCCATTCCTACCCAAAATGCATGCTGATTATTTTRTCCACAAAATGCCAGCATCCCATCACTAAGTGGAGGTATAAAGGGTTCCAAAATAGCCAACAGCTGGTGAAATGTTGAGTAAAATCTCCATTTTACTATAATTGTTGGCTACTTTTGTTGCAGCCCAGTTGTAAATTTAAACTGGAATGCTTCTACAGTGGGAATTAACTGTCGAAAAAAGTCCAGAATTCAAGATGGCAGCTGCTCACCACAACTCATTCATGAGTAAAACCCGCTTACTTTTASTTTTATTAGTATTTCTGYATTTCACATTTAGTCAGTCGTACCTTTCAGTGTTTTTAGGAGGACGTGTTAAAATGCTGTTTTTATGAAATACAACACAGTTATCGATGCACAGCAGTATGAGATGAGCAACGTTTTGTGTTTAGACGAAGTTAAACACGAAACGTCAAAGTTTATTCCAACTGGCCCTTTGAGGATWACCATAACGCTCATGTAGCCCTGTGTGAAAATGGGTTCGGCACCCCTGACCTGTATGCTCTCTGTCAATAGTTTGAAGCTCAATGGGTCTTTATATACAAACAGCACAGCACAGGTAAAAATGTGCTCAGCTAATGTACTGGGATGGTGTTTGCTTGGTCATGGTAAGACTCAGACACACACAAACACTGTTGGGTTTGAGGACATGATGCTCTACAATGACCCAGTATTGTGTTACTCCTTCCATTAGTGCTGACTAACTCATGGTCTTTGGCTTGAATGACAGCATCGAGGAGTATGGAGCAAGGTCATCCGTGTCAAGTTATCTGGCACCGAGGAGCCTGGGAAATCTGGGCCGGCTGAACCCGATCCTTGAAACGGAGCTGCTTCGGCTGATTCAGGTGTTGCACGTCCGGCAGTGGACCTGTAGACACAAAAGATCTCAAAGCAGAGAGCTGCGATGCCTGTTTAGACTGATCTCTCTGCGGTGCTGCAGGCAATGGAAATGCTGGGCTGACTCTACTCAAATCAAGAACAACACAATCAAATTAACACAATAATAATAATATTATTATTACAAATGTTTATTCATACAAAGATGTTTTTCAGTGAAACATCATTTTAATATATCAGTACAAAGAAMAAATCAACCAAGATGGTGACCCTGTCGATAAACTAGCCTCAGTTTGTGCCTCTTCATTTTGTCTCTGCAGCCTGTGACTCAACAATGAAAGGATGTTTCTTCTTTTTAACAACTCYACCTAGACTCCTCCTCTTTTTATGTGTCTGAGATGCAATAAAATAATTCAAACAGGAAACGTGGGACATCTAATAAAGCACATCATCACAAAAACACGAGGACCAAACTTCAGCGCGACCTGAAAGGGTTGACCTGCAACACCTCTTCATATTAAAGAATCTCCACCACAGGCCTGTAGACGGGTGCAAAAGTCATCAAATCCTGCAGCTAACTTAAAAATGTACTAACAAAATGAAGATAATGTAAACACAGTGCCAGCTCACAGAACAAATTCACAATCCAAGCAGAAATAAAGCAACACTTAAAGTAAAATTGAACTTTTCCACTTTAACAACGAACAGTAGATCACAAAAGATCAAAATGTTCAAACAATTCACTTTTAAAAAGTACACAACTGTTGAGCTGTGAATCTTCAGCACCTCATTTATAAGAGCACCTTTGTTATTTTAAAAGCACCTTTAGTCCAGAAATATTTCACTGGGTTCATGAAACACTTTTCATCTAGGCTGGAAAAACTTTCTTTTAGCTATTATTTTTTTATTTTTAACCGACTTTTATCAGCATTTTTTGCTCGCTTTTTGGCAAACCTGTTCCCAAATTAACCTGAAAAGCCACAACGGATCATAAAAAAAAATCAAGGATGAGCAACAAGCCAGTTTTCTGTGGTCAASCTTTGGCTTCTCAGTCTGTAGACGGCTTTGTACCGGTGAGCACTGAGGGTACAGCAACGGTCCGGAGGAGTTCAGTGATGGCTACGCCCCGCAGGTAAAACAACACTGTTTCTGGACGGACCTGAGCGAGCAGCGGCCCAGCAGCTTCAGCTTGTCACAGAAGCGAGAGGACATGGTGTTCTTCCTGCAACCTGGGGAAACAAAAAGAAACACGACTGTGATGCAATCTGAACACACAGGAGGTAAAACAGGTGCTATCATTTATCAGACGCCTCCCGCTGAGAAATGCTAGAGTTTTTTAATTTTTTTATTCGTATTGGGACATTTAGTTACACATTGCAAAGTATATCCAACAYAAAACTTGAACGTTATCAAGTTGTGTTTAAAAGAGTTTACTCCTACAGTTTTCCTGATATATTGATACACAATATTGAAGTGCAGGTATGTGCTCAATGTAAACAAAACTCTCAGATGATGGCTGTAATCTGTCCACTTTAAAAAAATTATATAATGGATTTT